AAAACGGCGCCGCTTTGCCCGTTCCGGACGCTGGGGGCGGGACCGGCGCTTCCTGCCGCAAAGGCTGCGGGGACACGGGAGCCACGCGTGGGCGGGGAACATGCCAAAGACACACGTGTTGCCTGGGAATGAAGAAGTTAAACTGGGAGCTCTGGGAATCTGTGGACAGGGAGGTGCTGCTCGGCCGGTGCGTCCTTGGGTACACCGGGAACGATTGTCCCCTTAGCAGAAATTACGGGAACTGCCCTCCTGGAAGTGTAAAGTATCCAGGAGCCTTTGTTGCGACAAGTCCCGAAACCTCAGTGGAATGTGAAGAGCACACCTCCAGGTACCTGAGACCCTCCCCGAATTATCCCCCTCCCACTCACCGAGCATGCGTGGAGAATTTAAGGAACACTGTGCCTTTAAATCGGAGCTGGAAAAGAACTAGCCAATTGCAATTAAGAATATACAAGAACAGACTAATTATAATTAGAGGGATGGGGCAAAGAAGACACAACCGACATCTGGAACCGTATAAATCCCCGATGGGACTGTGACCAGCTGTGCCAGCGCTGTGGCTTACCGCCCAGCATCCAGCTCCGCACAGCAGAGTGGTCTCTTGATACTCTGCGGGTTGACCTGTAGCACACCCAGTGGTGAATTCCAGTTTTGGGATAACCTACGTGTGGCCCTGGAAACATGCCAAGCATACACATGTCCTCTGGGAACACATGAAGGGACATGCACGTCCCCTGTGGACAGGAAAAGGGACATGTGGCCCCTGCATACGTGCAAAGGCACACGCATGCCATCAGGGAACATGTAAAGGGACACACATGTCTGCTGGGAGCATGTAAAGGCTCCCAGTAACACCCCAGTGCCTCTCCAGTCCCTCCCAGTGCTCCCAGTAACCCCTGAATCTACTCCCAGTGCTCCCAGTGCCTCCCCAATCCCTCCCAGTATCGGAGAAAGGAGAGAGATGCTCAGTTCAAGAGAATCATAGTCACCAATGTCATTATACAGGCTCATGTCTCTGCCTGAATTACTGGTGGGTTTTTCCATTCTGTGTGTAGCAGGACACCACATCCTAGTAAAACCTTGAACACTTTCCCAGGCCAAGTTGGGGCTATTTTTGCTTTCAGCTTTGGCTAGTTGTGACAGTACTACCTCCTACTGACAGCATGGAAACTTACAGCGCTGTGACAACTACTATGTAACGATGTAACGATGCTGCGATTACCAAAATTACAATATGACAACTAACAGACACAAAACTTGTAACGGTGTTACCCTTAAGTGTCAGGAAAGGTAGAGACAGACATCAAGAGGTGCTTGAAGAGAAAAGAGAAAGGAGACAAAAGAGACAGGAAAGTTTTGAGAAAGAAATCGCCACCCTTTGGATCTAGCGATGATGAACGTCCTGGGGGTTAAGAAGCCATGGAGGTGTCTCCTTAATTAGCACAGGGAGCGGAGAGGGGTGTTTCCTTAACTAGCGTGAGAAGAACCATACATTTGGGCATGTGTAAGGGTGTTGGAAGTGAAGTTAGAGCTAAATCTGGACTCTCTGTGTAGATTAGGAAGACTGTCCTTGGGACTGTTGAGAAAAAATTTTTGATCACGTCAGGTTCATTGGATTTGCCCTTGAAGACAGGAACATCCTGGGTATGTTTGGAGCAGTCACCCTGCAATTGCAGTCCCCCCTTTACAATGGGGGAATTTGGGGCAGTACTGGCTGTTACTGGGAGGGACTGGGGGGTTACTGGGAATCTTCACATGTTCTCAGGGGCCACATGTGTCCCTTTAAATGTGTACAGGGACCCACGTGTCCCTTTACATGGGATTGGGGGGGCTCTGGGAGCACTGGGGAAGAGACTCGGAGGTTACTGGGAGCACTGTGAGGGACTGGGGAGGAACTGGGTGCTTTCTGGGAGCCTTCACATGCTCCCAGGACACACACGTGCCCTTCACCTGTGTACAGGGGACACACGTGTCCCTTTACAGCTGCAGGGGCCATGTGTGTCCTTTTACACATGCACAGGGACACACGTGTCCCTTTACTTGGGATTGGGGGGCTGTGGGAACACGGGGGAGGAGATTCAGAGGTTACTGGGAACACTGGGGAGGAGATTCAGAGGTTACTGGGAGCACTGGGAGGTACTGGGGAGGCACTAGGGGTTTACTGAGAGCCTTCACATGCTCCCAAGATGCACACGTCTCCCTTTATATGTCTGCAGGGGACAAGCGTGTCCCTGTACATGTTCCCAAGACCACACATGTCCCTCCACGTGTTCCCAGGTAACATGTGTGTCTTTGGCATGTTCCCCGCCCACGCATGGCTCCCGTGTTCCCACAGCCTTTGCGGCAGGAGGCGCTGGTCCCGCCCCCAGAGTCCAGAATGAGCAAAGCGGAACCATTTTGGGTGGAAAAACGCGCAGATCAGGTCTGTCAGTGGCGGGGGGCTGCCAGGGCTGTGAGGAGGGTGTGTGTCCCCCTCCCAGAGTTTTGGAGCTGAAACAGGGGAAAAATGGGCCAGTCTCTCTCACTCTCTCTGGTGGGGGTTTTGCAAAATTAACTCATTGTGGGGATGGTGATTTGGGGTGAAAAAGGGGGAAACTGGGCTGATTCCTCCCAGTTGGGGCGGGGGAGAGGGAATTAACTAATTGTGGGAGATGTTCTCCTGCATGGAATAACCCTCCATGACCCACCAGGAGATGTTCTTCTTTGGGGAACATCTCTGCATGGTTGGACAATGACCCAATAGATGTTCCTCTCCTCTCTCTCAGGTGTTGAGGTGCAGGCCCACAGTGGTGGTCACCCAAATGGCTCCATTAATCTGCCAGGTCTCCTGGAGGATGGCAGGATGCCACCAAAGCCCTACCACTGCATGGAGTGTGGGAAGACCTTCAGAAAGAACTCCTACCTCATCCAGCACCAGCAGACCCACACAGGTGAGTGAACCTTTGCTTGTGGCCAATGTGAGAAGAGCTTCAGCAGATCCGCTTTGGATGACCACTTCTGGATCCACACCTGTGAGAGGCCCTACGTCTGCACCTGTACCTTCAGCTGCAGGTACACCTTGACTGAGCATTACCGCACCCACACTGGCGAGACACCCCACACCTGTCCTGAGTGTGGGAAGGCTTTTAGACAGTCCTCCAGCCTGGTCAGGCATCTCCGAACCCACACCGGCGAGAAGCCCTGTGAATGCCCAGTCTGCACCCGTGCCTTCAGAACCAGCTCCAAATTGACCGAGCATCGCCGCACCCACATTGGTGAGACGATCTACTACATCTGCCCCGAGTGCGGAAAGACCTGCACACAGACCCCGGACCAGGTCAACCATCTCCAGACCAACACTGGAGAGAAGCCCTATGCCTGTGAACACTGCGGGAAGACCTTCAGCCTCAGCTCCGAGCTAGTCAAGAGCAAAAGGACCAAACCCAATGAGGGGTTCTTCCCCTGTGGGCAGTGTGAGAAGTGCTTCAAGTGGAAGGCCAACTTGAGATCCCACCAATGGACCCACACCAGTGAGAAGCCCTACTGGTGCAGGGAGTGCAGGAAGGCCTTTGGGCATAGCACCAAGCTCCTTGACCACCAGCGGACACACACAGGCAAGCGACCCTTCTGCTGTGGCACCTGTGGCAAGAGCTCTGCCCTGTCCAAGCACCAACAAATCCACACTGTTCAGAAGCCCTGGGGCTGTGGGCACTGCAGGAAGACCTTCTGCTGCCAGTTTTTCTTTTTGCTTTTCTTTTTTCTCCACAGTTTAATCACTGTTATTATAAACCTTATATGCAACTTCTGTTAATTGTGAAATAGACATTCCTGCAGCCCCATCAACTCTTTGCAGCTTTTTATATCAGGTGATGTCTTCCAATAAACAACATGTCGAACATCATAAATTCTGTGCCCTTTCTCTCAATCTTGCCACCAATATCCACCTTTTCTTCTGACACATCCTTTTCCAATATCACAGGCAGAACAACATCACTTTCTCTTTTGTACACTTTCAGCCAACACCATCATATTACTCAAATCATTACTGAACAATTTATATTCCCTTCTGATCTTATTATCATTACACAAAAAAACAAAACCAAATCCACATATGTAACTTCATCCCACTTATCCATTCTTCTACAAAACAACACCAATTGCAAAATGGTACAGTAATTCAAAGTCCCCTTTTCAGGCCACTTTTCACATATTTGCCACCATTGCCAGCAGTACCTTATTAACCTTTTTTTACATACTTTTACAATTTTTCAGGGTGCACCCTAAAGGGGAACAAGGAGGTGTATCGGTGGAGGAAACCAGACCCACATTAATTATTTCCTAGGAAAAAATTTTAACAAGAATTTCATACCCTTGGCCATTTAGGAAGAGCATCCTGTACTCTTCATCCCCTGCGTCTATGTGTCGAAGTTAATTCTCCTGCTGCATTCCTCTTTAATGGAGCGACTTACACGGGGCTACCCAGACCAGAAACCAGATTTTCCTACTCACCAAGTCCCCTTGTAACCCTTTAATTGATATCTCTTGTGTCGGTCACCGCCTGAGGCCATTTAGGAAGAGCATCCTGTACTCTTCATCCCCTGCATCTATGTGTCAAAGTTAATTCTCCTACTGCATTCCTCTTTAATGGGGCTACCCAGACCAGAAACCAGATTTTCCTACTCACCAAGTCCCCTTGTAACCCTTTAATTGATATCTCTTGTGTCGGTTACCGCCTGACTGCAGAGCAGCAGCTGATGGAGTCCCTGACCCACGGGGCTGTGTGTGCTGGAGTCCAGTCAAACTGCTTCTCCCCATCTGTATGGCAAGACAATCCAGTCAAGGCTCAGCGTAGACCCACCTGGGTCACCAAAATGTTGTCCCAAAAGTAGAGTTCATCACCTACTGTGCAACAAGTCAATCCGCAGACAATCAAGATCCTCTTTTACTGCGTTTCTGCGCAGAGCTGGATGCTGGGTGGTAATCCAGACTGCTGGCACAGCTGGTCATAGTCCCATCGGGGATTTATACAGTTCCAAATGCCGGTTGTGTCTCGATTGCCCCATCCCTCTAATTACAATTGGCCAGTTCTTCTCTATTCTTAATTACAACGGGTTGGTTCCTTTCCCACTCTGATTCTGGTTCTTCGCCAGGCCGAGGCAGCGCTCGCTCTCTTCACATCTTCTCTGAGCTCCAACTGGAACTTCTCCATCAACACCCTTTTAAAAGGGTATCCCGGGGGGGGTCTCCCATCCCGGGGCCCCCCTGCTTCGGTTCTAAGGCCGGGCACCCGAAGGGTAGCCTAACCCCCGCTGGGCCCCCTCTGCTTTCCCCCTATAACTCTCCCCCACCAGCGCGCCCACTCTT